GTGCTATTAGTAACCAGCCCAGTAACATCATCCGCATTGAATTTTACCTGAAATTATTCAAGTCAGTATTATAAAATCGTGAAAGAATAAATAAATACAACGTTGTTTAACGGTGCGTTACTCACATGGAAAACAAAAGCTTTCTCAGGAAAAGCTGAAAACGAGTTTCTAATCATAAATCTTAGGTTCAAAATTGAACAAATCGACTTAAAGGGGTACGAACATAAAGGTTTCTACATGATATAGAGAAGTAAGAACGATCCACAGACAAGCTGATTGCATTTTTAAACCAATACTTTTGATGTTGACGGGTACTGCCTTAAACCAACAGGACCGAGGGAAGTGATACTGACATTCAAAAGCTACGTAAATAGAATCCTTACGAAGTGGGGTGTGGTTTATGTTACATTAACCATTTAATCATTAAATTTACAACAACCATGGCTCAGATAAGTGTCGGAAACTAATTATACATAAAGAAATCACGAAATATCTGACGCTACTAAGACTTCTTAAAGAAAAAAAAAGGAAATGAAGGAAAATCGGGCAACACATTATCGACACTCTTGTGGTCTCAAAACTAAGAAATTTAAAGATAGGAGTTAGTATCTGGAGGCGTCGAGGAAACCGACAGGCTCATTTCCAACCACTCGAGCAGCATGCACTGTGTTCTTTGGAACAAAGACTGCATCACCGACAGTAAGGACAACAGTCTTGCCATACATTGTGAAAGCAAATTTACCCGAAGTAATTGCATCCTTTTTGTCAACACAATGAGTGTGCTCCCCAAATACTGTTCCAGGAGGGAAAATGTAAGATTCCACTCTAAATCCCTTAAAGTTAAAACATAAGGAGAAGGTTAAATACCTCTTTTTCTAGTTTCCGGGTGAGACATTCTACGGAAAATACACCATCGACATCGGTATCCCAATGTGTGATTTGCAATTCACCCATCTAAAACGCCATTTAAAAATAGGTACAGTCAAGGCAAAAGCAGGCGCAGCCAATCAAAAAACAAAACATATACAAATGTTTATTGCTCCAGAAGAATACAACAACATTTTATGGTTGTGGGCGACAGGAGATACCATTCTGTGGCGAATACAGTTAATATCCAGTAATGACAATACATGACGGTTCAACGCCATGTACTTCATAGACGTGAAGGTCACATAAGGTAACCGAAGAAAATGTTCTATGACAGGTTTTCACTGGACATTGAATCTGCAAATAAATAGATAAATGAGCTCAAGCTTATGGGTACATACTGGGCATGGGAAGAAAGAGGCGTGAACTACGACTAGATGATTATCTAGGAATCGCTGCGCAATGAAGTTTACACCACAAAAAGGACAACCGAATTTGTGAACACACGCAAAGTGGGTGCTAACAGCCCCAGCATTGTATGCAGTTACTTCACATTGAGGGTCCGCGCATTCGAAATGCTCCCTAAGAATATAATTCCTACATAAGAAAAAACCTAAATCCCGACGTTCTCAAACCTTGAGGGGGCTCAAACCACCTAGCCCATTCGTGTACGCGTACAAAAATGCTTGAGGACATGAGAATCGCGAACAAAAACACGGAGCAGTTCTCTCGTCTGTTGTGGTGTAGTGTGTGTGTTGTGGTGTGGCGTCGGATTAGGGCGCAGACATGTTGGACCACCTGGACTCAGCCAATCCCGTGTCTCTCTGCGGTCCAGTGGCATGCAGGAAAGGAAGGCGGCCAACCAGGGAAGGACATGGATGAGGTGCAGTACATAATGAGCGGCGTGGCCAGGGTGGCGGACTCGGAGGGAAGGCGCCTGACGCGTGGCTCTGGCTTCTGATTGGTCAAAAAAGCCTGTTCTGTTGTACCAGTCTTTTACCTATTAGGGCTCGGGTATTCTACAGTGGCGTCAGATTAGGGCGCAGACATATTGGACCACCTGGCCTCAGCCAATCCCGTGTCTCTCTGCGTGGCAGTGGCATGCGAGGAAGATGGGCAGCCAACCAGAGAAGGACACGACTGAGAAGCAGTATATAATTGGCGGCGTGGCCAGCGTGGGGGACTCGGATGGAAGGCGCCTGGGGTGTGGCTCTGGCTTGTGATTGGTCAATAAAGCCTGTTCTTTTGTGGCCTGTTCTGTTGTACCGGTCAATTTCCTATTAGGGCACGGGTATTCTACATTGGTGGCAGCGGATGCGTTCGAATAACGCAAATCGAACCCAGCCCTTTCTCATCTATGGTCAACGCAGGCAAAGACACTTAAATGCCAGCTGAATTTGTCATGGCGTTCATCCGATGTCCAAAAAAAATGGATCCATAGACATTGCACGGGATTAGGACTACTGCATCTGAAGAGGCATTGGCAACTCAGCGACAACGACTTGGACAGTGAAAGCCAGCTGGACTGCATCTGCGAAGGACCTTCAATGGATGATGAGTCTTTCCTGCAAGTCTACAAGAGCAGAGTCCCTCGTCAACTATTCGCATGGGCCACTATCCTGCCAGATGTGGGGTGCGGGGAGTGTCGAACTGGATATTTTACCAACACTGGATATCAACAACAGTGCGGTGGACCAAGCCAGAAGCTGAGGACAGCCTCACTCCAAAGGGGAGGCAGTGTGGTGTGGCGTCGGATGAGGGCGCAGACATATTGGACCACCTGGCCTCAGCCAATCCCGTGTCTCTCTTCGATCCAATGGCATGCGGGGAAGGAAGGCAGCCAACCAGAGAAGGACATGGATGAGATGCAGTATATAATGAGCGGCGTGGCCAACGTGGTGGACTCGGATAGAAGGCGCCCGACGTGTGGCTCTGGCTTGTGATTAGTCGATAGAGCCTGCTCTGTTGTATTGGTCTTTTTTATTATGGCCTGCCTGCAAGTCAACAAAGGCAAATTTACTCGACTTATATTTGCTTGAGCCACTATCCTGCCAGAAGTGGTGTATCGGTTAGCGTCAAATTAGATATTTTATCAATCGTCAACAGTGGGGGAAACCGAGCCAAACGTTGAAGACAGATTTCCTCATGACGGGGAGGCAGTCAGCAACGTATAAAGGTGCAGACATATTGAACAACGCTGGCATGATCTAATCCTTGGTCTGTTTGCATTCGAACGTCATGCGCGGAAGATATGCAAACAACAACGTACAGACACGTATACGAGGCAATAAATAATGGGCGGCATAGCCAACGTGGTGAACTCGAATTAACGGCGCCTGAATTGAAGTTTTGGCTTTTAGTTGAACTGTAAAACCTTGTTAGTTTAACCGTTCTTCACACTAGAGCTTGGGTATTCTGCACTGTGATGAAAGGAAATACAGGTATGTTAAATTTTGGAGAGCTCAGCCAATCATTACTTTGTGTGATTTTAGCAGCCTTCGAGGGAAACCAGCAACCAAACAGAGAAGCAGTTTCTAACAAATGGCGCAACCTGCATCGAGGACTCGAAGGAGCAGCTTCTGATGTGTAGCTCTGCGTTGTAAATAATCATTAAAACTTCAGGTGTTGCATCAGTCTTCTTAATACGCGTGCAATATGCAATGGGCATTACAGCCAGTATAGTGAACACTGCCTGACGGGTGGTTATGGACTGTAGTGATTCGTATCGAATCACATTAATTAATTTACTAGCTGTAGTCTGAGCACCGCTTTCACAATTTTAGCCATGAAGACCACCTGCTCTCACACACCTCCGTACATGCACCCCACCCGCTATCTGTTAAACTATTCCAACAATTCAGTAATTTGTATGTTAACTAGTTCATCCACACAATTAACTACTAGCTATTCAATGCATACACTATTGCTAGCGCATTCGTGCAACACGACTGGATCAAGATTCTAACAAAGAGTAGTCTCTTAACTGATTTCTACTTTGGGTGCCATGTGTTGATTTGTGTAACAAGAGGTCTATGTTTGCTCAAAAAATCCCGTTTTGCGATTCCAGACTTGATATATTGGAATTCTGTACTAGTGAGAGAGCATAATAATTCACAAGGCAAATCAAGTAAAAAGACCTTTCTGTTTCAGAAAATAGCAAAAATCCCAACCAATTTAATAAATTATTTAGAGGCCAAAAGTACCTAGGGAAAAGGATAAAAAAGCAGCCTCTAAACCATAAAAGGGGCAGCCATTAAAAAAACTGGTATTCAGTATTTAACGGCAGTTTATTTGTTATGAAATGTGAACGATTATTCTTTTTATTTCGAGGCAAGGGTTATCTGGAAACTTGAACTTAAAAATAAATCGTAGATTTTCATACACAAAGACCTCACAATAAAAAAGGTTATTTGAGGTAACGTTTGATCTTTTTGCTGTACTAACATCAAAAAATGCAGATAATAATAAACTGGTAATTTTCATCATCGTATTTGCCTTATACTTATTGTATAATCTGAAAACAATTAAAAAACTTTTTATGCCTTATCTACACTTTCGAAATTCCTCCTAATTAAAAGAACTTTTTTAAAACTATATATAATCATTATTTGCAAACATTGCAATAAACAGTTTTCTTTTGTTTAAACGAGTCATAGCGCACATGCTTCCTTGCTTACCGCGGTTGCTCGTGTCATCCTGTCGTCTTTTTCTTCGTTTGCTCTTTTTTTATTACCCCACTGTCTATGTCTTGCGCTTTCGTGACAGTCTGCCTCACGTTTTCTCCCTTCAACCAAACATAACTTCCAGTCTTGGAATGCTCTATTCATCTTTCTCCCTGCACTGTTGTATTTTTTACCAATAGTCAGTCATGTTGTGGTAGCGATTCCTGACACGATGCCTGACAGTTACCGGACACCACTGGGTATGCACGTTGCAGTTAACTTTTGTTGCCTGCCTTCTTTTTCCTTTCGAGCAAGTTTGTTTTCTTTGTTCATTGTCTTACGTTGGAAGCGCTCTTCTTAGATACATGTGATTTTTATCGGTTAGGTCACGTTATTTCTTTGTAGATACAAGGAAGAACATAACAGAATGATGTTTTTTGTGTTTAGACTATTTTGGTTTAAACATTCATAATGACCGACTTCGTTGTCGACCACTGGGATGAGGGTGTGGATGGTGTTTTGTCGAGGGAGACAATGCTAGAGAAACTGAAAAAACAGGTAAGCCTTTTCGAGACCTCGTTGTATTTGTAGGGTTACTCGGCGACTCCATACACATTTAGTGCCGGCAGCACCTTTCCAACACACACACATGATGTCGATAAGAAGGATGTAGTTGTCGATGGTGAGCTTGAGTTCACTATGTACGGTAAATCAATCATCTTGAAGTCTGGTGATACCTTGGTCGTCCCTAAAGGCGTGCCTCACTCTGCTAAAGTTATCGGAAACCGGAAACTGGAGTTCTTTGACGCCACAAAGCTGTAGTGCATGTGATAATAAAGGATTCGTCTCAAATTTTGTGGTATCCATTTTTACAAAGCCGGATTTTGTTTACATGTTGGGCGAACTCATTCTTAGCTGTGTACACATTCAATTGCCGCGCCGGGCTGTAGCGTTGCCGTGAATATTTCAACGGTAAAATGCGTGTGCTATCAATAGACGATATGTAAACTAAGGCGTGCTTATGAGGTTCCGGGAATTGTTCTATAGTTCAAATAAGTGCTTGCGATGCTGTCTCAAATTGCGGGCATTAGTGTTTCCGTGGTTGCTATCAGCGGTCGTCAGTCACGAGTTGCGATGAGGGTTCCCACCATCCAGCACTGCTCGAGGATTAATTGAACGAATTTGATTGCTGGTGTTGGCTAGTGCAAACTCAGTTGTAATAGAAATGAGAAATTTTAAGGTAAACTGAACGTCCAATAGTCTATAATAATGATCCGTATTAAGTTAGTGCCTTGCCTGTTGTCCTTTGAGTTTTTGGCGAATTTGAACTCCATCCAAGATCAACCGTCCTTTTGCTTTTTGTCCGTAAACAAAACCAGTCATAGATAACCGGACCTTTGTCTGACGCTAGGCTCCACTCCCCATGCTGGTGTAAGACATGGTGCAGTGTTTGTAATCTGTCAGCCCAAGGCTGGGCGATATGCTCTAATTCTCCCGCTTATATAAGCCAAGGATGACCTTGAACTGATGGGTTAAAGCTGATTAATAGATAGCCTGTCAGTAGGGTGACAAACTCGGCGATGAGACTTGTTGGCGAATCCTGAATCCCCAACACGTCCAGACTTATTAATTTTCGCTTGTCGGTCTTATATGATACCTTATCAATTTACGTGGCAAAGGTGAAACAGCACTTAATGCTTGAAAGGTTTTCTTATGTCGCAACACTGGCGGTCTTGGCTTCTTCGGTTCGCGTGTCGGCTTAAAGTGACAATCGTGGCTTGTTTCGCTGTGCAACAACAGCAAAGACATCAAGGGTTCGAAATAAGCCCGACTTAACTATAAACGTTTCCGCGTGCCACAAGTTCCGATTAACAAGGGGAGGGGAAGCCGATAACTTAAGTCTTCACCTCTATGATAAATAATCAGCATAAAACTCAACCTATGGGCCAAAGAGTCACACGTCGTCCAGATGCCAAATTTTTCTAGTTCCAAATTATTTCGATAACAGTCACGGATGTGCACCATGGCCTTTACAACACATGGTGATTTATACTCTAGTGTTTGTAGGCGGTCTTCACTAGTCTCTTTTGAGCCCATGACGATCTTGTATCCAGCTCTTTACACTGGCTTGCATCATTTGTCCCATGCCATGTCCATTATAATAATTTTTTCATAAACTTAAAATCCAATAAACCCACTGAATAATAATAACTGAAATCAAACAAAACTATAGGCGATCGTATCGGCAGGAAGCCCTGCCAGCAACCAATTTGGTACAAATAAAGAATTGTCGTACATATTGCTTTCTAATTACCAAAGACGATCACAGGTCAAGTGGTCGAAGTAGTATTACTGCCGTGAGCAACACTAATGGTCATCCTGGCATATAGTACCTTCGAGTTTATCTCTACCCCCGTTAGATCTGATACGTCACAGGCCTGAGTACTGCGTGGTTAGCGGAGGCTACATATTTATACATAGCTTTGGTCATATTCACTCTACTTTAGTCGCGTTTGACCACAGATGCGGTGTCGGTGAGCATTTCGTAACGTACCTGCCCCATCACAAGAGGTCGCTTCAGAGTGTAACAAGTGTTAAATTAGCCACCCACACGAAAATTAACCACATTTTCTAAATAAAGATGAATTCATCTCAGCTTCCAGGATGAGACTTGTTTCAGGATGTCCGCGAATGATAAATTTGTGGCCGACTTAACACCCCAATTATCTCAAGCCTAGGAAGCCAATATCTTGGCAGTTCGGTGGTTGAATTATGCAACCAATGTGAGTGAACCGAGATCTCACAGAGAACTTTGGTTTTAAGCATCTTTATGGACACGATGTCGGAGTGCACGGAGTAGTCAACACCCACCCACCCCAACTCCAGGTTGCAATCGATTAAATGCTGCATTAAGGAAAACCCTGTCGACAGTGAAACTAGCTAGCTTCGATCACATCTAGACACATTGAGTCACCTTAATCCCAACTATTGCTTTTCGGGCTGGCTCATGACGATGCTAATACATCTAGGGTTCAAAACTACCCAGAAATGTCGCGTTCTCAAGAACCAGATTAATTGCCAATCGCAATCTAAAAATACGCCTGATGATATGGTAATCCATGCAAGATGCACTTCGAAGTGAGAATCTACTGAATCCACATTAACAACAGCTTATGTAGCAAGAATGCCAAGTCAAATAGCCATTACCATACCATCGTGTAGAAAGCAGAATGATTCGATGCTAAACCGAACTTAAAGTATGCCAAATACTAAAGCCCGGTAGACTGCCTTTAAGTACCGCAACGAAGTGATAGCTTTACACGATCAGGGCGACCATTGCCATTGGCTGGGAATAGTTGGCGACTACTCACTACATAGAGCCTAACCATACAGAATAGACACTAAGTTTAATACATGTAATCAAAACGCTACAAGCATAAGCTTTGCGCGACAAAAGTCCAACTGACTGGCAGGTACTGAAGCGCAAGTCTTTCGGACACGTACACAGAACCTGCCGTCTAAGAAGAGACCGGGAGTGCGCACGCGTACAGTGAAAATGTAGAAACTCAAAAAACGTGGGGCTGGCAGGGAAGAAATAATATAGTACAGGGCACTGACAAAACTGGCTACAAATATACACAGCAGGATTAGTGGATCGTTTAATTCACGTTTGGATTTACTCGAATCACCCTTTTGCAGCTGCCAGTTGTTCCCTCTTTGTTTGTCCGTTGTGGAAATTGTTACTGTTGTTAGTTCGATGTGAATTTTTACGAAAACGGCGATTATGGCTGTGGTGGTGTGACCGTCGATAACTTCCACCGCCTCGTCCAGTTCGAGTCTGGAGTTGACCCATACCTTTATGCTGCTTTGACTGTTGCTGGGATTGTAACCCAGAGTTGCTTGGGAGGGACTCCTCAGGGTAGTACTCAACAAGTTGTTTGTAGGCAATGTCCGAGTAAGGGCAAGGATAATAAGGCCTATCAGTTCGGTTCAGCCATGTTTGGCGGTCTGGGAAGATACCCAAAGGAGCGGCAACATAAAGGCCACTGCGACAAGCTAAAGCTAAGAGGTCGCTATATGTGGGCTGGTCTGTGGTCGACTGCGGTGGTTGGTAGTCAAGGAGAGCAACTGAAGCTCGACAACAGGTCTCCATTCGAACAGGAAAAGCAACGGTTTTGTCGCCAGAGAAGAAGGTTCGTAATATGTGCAGGTCAGGTACATCAGAGTAGATGGGGAGGGCGTGAGCCCAGCTAACGTGTATAGCTTGGAACGGCACCCGCATATATTTGGCTCTGTAAAAGAATTACGAGGTAAGTAAATATGCCCTCGGATTATCCACCCAGACATTAGGCATATTCAAAGTTAAAGGAAATTGAGGAATCTTCCTATCTCAATTTACTTCGTAGGTTTAAAGATGTTTTTAGAGGTCAGACGTAATTACAACGACTTTAAGTGGTTGTGTGAAGGGAGCACTCACTTAATTTTTCGTAATTCGGACAGTCCAATAACCCCGAAAGTGCCGTGATCAAGCATAAAACAGACGGCTTGACGAGGCCACGTCAGAAGGACTTTGAGGATGAGAGCGCGAGCAAAACCATAGGAATGGGGAAGAATCGCCACGGTGCCGGAAGTAACAGGTTCGTAAAGCTGCATTCGGGAGCTGCTCAAAGACGCATAATCTTTGTCTAGCTCTTCCTGCATGGCCAAGTACCGACTGTATTCCGAATCCTTTATAGTTACAAAGAACTCCTTCAGTCCGTACAGACTACGAACTTGAATTTGGGTAAAATGACCAAGCGGAAGCAAGCGCTAAAGTAGAAATAATAGCCATAGTAAGAAAAGTAAATAATACAGCGTGTGAAATGAAGCGCAACTCACTCTCAATTGGTTTGGATTTCCGATTGTTGTTTGAGATGGCCTCATTTTAAATCTTCCACTAATCCAATGCAACACATTTTCCTTGTGCTCAACAGGACAAGAGAGTTTAAGAAGAAGAGTGTCCTGACGTCCAGGACACATGTTAAGCGAAAACTCTGCATTCCACTGACTCTTAAGCTCACGAACATTCTTTCCGAATCGCCCAATGAGTACACCACCCATGCTGGCGGGCACATAAAACGTCTCACGCCAAGTGTCTTTCTCCACGGCTTCGGCCCACAAATCATCAGGAACTAGAACCCGAGGAATAGTTTTTCCGTCTAAGACCTCGGGTGCATCTTCCACAATATCATTATCAGGATCATTGAAAATACCTTTCGGCAAGGATTGCACAAGCTCAGAGTCAGTTTCACTACTACAGGGACTGGCGGCTTCTTCTGAGCCATCTGACGCCGAAATCTCATATTGATCATTTGATGTAAAAGCAGGAGTAGACTCTTCCAATGTTTCTGAAGTTTTCGGTTTCATTACTGGCACCTCCTTAATATAGTCAGTTTGATGCGCAGCAAAAATGTCAACAGAACTGCCGCTATTTACCGTTTTTTCAACCTCAATAGACTCTTGATGGTCAAAAAGACAGAGTTCTTCGACCTCGGACACGGGGATTTGTTCCACAATTCTGGTCGATTTAGGGAAAGCGGAAACTGCTTGTACTTGTGAAGTAACTGTGGCTTTAGATAGAGAGGTAACTGGAATAACGGGTATTTTGTTGATTTCGACAGTAATATCACTGATACTGGAAGCGGTAGTCTCCTTTTGCTCACCTACGATGGTGGAATGTTGTGGTTCTTTGATATTAGGTTCCTCGGGAAGCTTGGTGGCTGCTGCTGCTGATGGAGATGCAATTACGAGGGTAGAAAGAGGCTGTAATTCGACGCTGGCAACCTCTGCTTGGGTAACAGCCTTAGCTGCAAGTGCCTTAAATTTAGGGATAATGCTTTCCGTAACACCAACTGATGTTTCTGAATCCCTATTTCCCTTTATGACGGGTTCTGAGCCGAGTATTTGTTCCGAATTTGGGCGTGTAATTTCTTCGTGAATGGATTCCTCTTGATTTACAAATTTTTCCTTAACGGTTTCTTCGTATATAGGAAACACGTCAGACACAATGGGTAGGGCTTGCGCGTCCACGTGAGGTTTCTCGACAGGTATTTCGGTTTCCGATCTCACAATAGAAATTTGGGGAATATGTGCTTTGAACGACACTTCCTTTGGCCTGTCAGTGAAGATTTCAGTTTGTAGTGCGAGAACTTCTGACTGTTCGCTGGTAGATGACGTTTTGCAGGTCTCGTTACTTGAACTCTAAAATACAAAATTGCGCTGAATTCCCCACACTTCCAAAAAATGATAAATTCTTGTGTGCTTATGGTCTTCTGGGAAATTGTCTCAGGAGACTTGATGAGGACCTTTTGCCACCATGCTTTATTCAAAAACATTATTGTTATACTTCGCTGAAATAAAACAATGAATGACCCTAATGGAAGGAGGTGGCTTACAAACCCATGAACAAGGCTGGTTGGAGTTAAGAAGACAAGTGCAAATGGTTTTTGGCACATACCTTACCAGCTGATGCAAGAATATGTTCGATTTTTTTCTTTTTGTGGTATCGAGACCAAGCGTAAAGAAGCGAAGCGGTAAATACAGCAATTACGGTGATCTGACGGGAACTCAACATGCGTCTGAAATTACAGTATGTACAAAGTTACGAAAAAACAAAATGAAGCAGTCACACCATCTAATACACGAGCACAATTACCCAACGCATAATTGCGGAAGAGGCAAAAATAGGTACAAGAATCCAAATATTAATGTACATTATGGGCAAGCACCTACAGCGAGGAACAATGCTGCCACTTCCAGAACCAACGTAGAAATTTAATACAACAACATTTACATGGAAACATGAATTCCGGTTATTTCGAAAGTTAAGTAAGCGAGTAGCTAATTCATTACATTAACGATAAATTAGTGACAACCGACAGTTTGGCTCGGAAGATCGATGATCGATTACTCGACAATGGAAAGCCCAGCTGAATAACATAAGCATAGTTTTAGCTCTCCACAAGCAAAATAATTACAATTACGCTTTTTGAAGTGGTTGCGGCGATAAAAGACACGAAATGATCAAAGGCAATTAAATAGGGGTAGCTTTGGTGAGGATGTAAGAACAGCGTAGGATTAAAAGCAGAGCAATATTAAGGTTTATAAAAACTAGATCACATGGTACACCAAAAAAATACATTAATAACTTACGCATATGGCACGACGACTTAACTGCCCAAAACCCACAAAAGCGGCGTGAACATGTGAACTCCACGAACGCGGGGTAGCTAACGTCCCTGGTGAGTTAAAACAATACAAAAAACAGTTCAGCAAATATCGCCATTAATCAAGGCGTAAAGGTGTCTCTATCATTAAAACTTTTTGAAAAAATTGTACTATTTCGTTAGGCTTTTATGGTGGACGTAGTTTGCACGTCAAAGAAATAAATGACATAATATAAGATCCGATATGATGTTACTGTCAAACATCAACAAAGAATATTTCATGCTTACAAAAAGATCTTTCTTTTGTAAAACTTACAGAATTCACTGCAAATTTTTTTATAAACAGGTACTTTTAATTGTACCCATATTTAAAAAATGTTTAAATATGGGTACAGCAAAATGGTCCATAGTGAATATCTGCCTGAAGGTAAAAGATAGCCTTACGGAGAGTATTATATATTACCAGGTATGTTAATCAAAAAAATCAGATAAAAACCATCACGTTGTAAAATAGAGCCGATGACGAAATAGGAGCAGATTGGAGTTAAGACTTCGAATTTGTTCGTCACGCCACCGAGCAGGAGCCATAAACTCTAACACTTAGTTCTGCGAACCTAACAAAGGTACTTTTGAAAAAAGATAATTAATTTAAAAAAAACGTTTTATAGTCTGACAATTGATAGATTCATTTCCATTGCATTCTCTGCAACAGCCACTAATGTTTGCACTAGACATAGGTTTACTAGAACTAATTTACCATCATTACAGGGTTAGCGATATTTTTTAATGGTTTTTGAACCTAAAGCTTACAGGACGGCCTTTTATCATGCCTTCAATACACTTCTGCCACCTTTGTGCATTTTCGAAGAAGGTTATCTACAGGGTGAGATAGGTAATAATTTGACCGACCTCTTGCGGTGCGATCGCTTTTCAATTAGGGAAATCTAGTTTTTTTAAATTGCTGGAACCGGCAACGTCTCTTCATGCTCCCGATCTTATCGTTTGCATGCATTAATGTATTTGGGGTGGACAGTAACTGGCATGGTACCGGACCTTAAAATGCCATGCACCTCCTTAAGGAATAGTCAGTTCATCTACCTGAATTGGTTCGTTAAACATGCGACTTTAACTTTCAGTGGTTTTTAAAGCTCACTGGACAGTAATGACTTCAAAAACACAGTGGTTAAACAATTATTTAAATTACTCCAGCATTACATTCTCCTTTTGTATGCAGTATGCGTGCAGTGGGATTGATTTTATAAGACTAAGAAAACCATCGCAATGTCAGTAAAAACCTGGTGCTTGCAGGCACCAAATACGAATATGGTGTGGTATAGTGTAGCGGAATAATAGATGGCAGCCATATTGTCGACGGTAGTCAGCATGGCGTGGAGTCGACGTCACGTGATCGGGGTTACGACTTCTGGCTGCGTGGCGGCGCGTAGGCATTCAATGACGTGCAGGGGTCTAAAAGCCAATTTGCTCACGAGGTTTTTTGTCTTCATTGTAGCGACGAGAGACGGACCAACGGGAGAACAGGAAGAACAGGACAAGTATATATCAAGCCCCTGCTTTCCCCATACGGACCGACCAGATTGAGACCAGTGTGTTACGTTTTTCATTCTTTATTAAAAGAATCCATTTTGTCTCATTCTCTTCTTCACCATACCATGGGGCCGAAAAGTACAGTAGCGACGAATTAGGGCGCAGACATATTGGACCACCTGGTCTATCCAAACCTGTGTCTCTCTGTGTCCCAATGGCATTCGAAGAAGATAAGCTGCCAACCAGATTACCTCACGAATCGCGACATGAACTCAGGTATTATACATGGGCGACGTCTAAGGGCGCAGACATATTGGACCACCCTGTACTTACCCAATCCTCTATCAATCTGCGATCCAACAGCATGCGTTGAAGAAATTCGGCCAACCAGCGAAGGACACGAATAAGATGCAGTAAATAATGGGCGGCTCTCCAGCGTGGAGGACTCGGATGGAAGGCGCCTGAATTGCGGTTATGGCTTGTGATTGGTCAATAAAGCCTGTTCTGTTGTACCAGTCTTTTTTTCTAGTAGGGCTCGATTTTTCTACAATGGGTTCTAAATTTTTTTTATGACGATTTAAAGAAGCAGGGTTATTCACGTATTTATTTTAAAATAGGCTAAAACAAGATGACTAATAAAATAAATATATAGGTACCTTTTACCAGTTAGAAAGCAATGTTCTCTTAGTTGGTCGTTTTAGCGTGCAAACAGTTACAATAAAATTATTGATTCCAGTTTGGGTCAGATTTCTTAAACAAAGCTCAAGACTCGAAACCTTATATTAAAAAATTTATCTTAAGATTAATTAAGACAGAAGTTTTGCCACATTAAATCGTCATTTACTGCCGTCCTATTTCCATTTCATTGCAACTAAAATTAATCCGATACAAAGAAAATTTGCGATTTAAATCTATTAGCTAATCACCATCACCACAAAAACTAGATGCGCTCATCAGCAGCATAAATTACATTGGTTTAAATCCCTTTTATGATCTAAAGGTTTGACAAAGACTGTATATATTACGAATCTTGAAAATTGCAGGCGATTTTACTACTAGATTTAATGATAAACATTACGTTTTGTCGACTTAGCACAAAAAGTACAGATTAAACTACTGGATAAGCATAACTGATTTACTGTTGACCTTCCTAAAATTGAGCTTTTTGCGTTTATTTCTTATTTTACAATCCATTTACATGCACAACATTACGCAATAGTTACACGAAATTAATGTCAAACACACAGCATTTATTAGGTACACCGTTCTTCCCAGGCCGATATATCATCGATATTTGAAAGCTACGCATTTCGAAATGGAATTTGTTGTAGAACGTTAGTAATTTACTATTGTGGTTTCTACCGCGAGGTCAAAAACAATGTGCCGTTAATAAAATCCAGTGCCCAATATTCATATAGTATGTTAATAAACTCGAACTGTTAGCGTGTAGTTTGCACTAGTAATCAGAATGATGTCTCAAACTTACTTTCCTGCAACATGTGCTCGTAGAAAATTATAATATAAAAAATACATAGTAATTTCTGATATTAAGGTTGAGATAGGGCAGGATTTAAGTGAAATCCAGGGGATCAAGTTCAAACTCTTACTATCAACGTTAATGTTGATTTTTCGATTGAAGGCTATTTTTGGCACACTTAATTCAGAGTAGGGTTTTAGTTATATCATGATTTTAAAATGCTATAGTCGAAGCTGCCAATTTGAGAAGGCAAAACAGTTCCGTTTTCAAACTAAAACATTCTCGTTACATTTGGCAACATGAGCCCCGAATTATTTTTTACTAACTCAAAAATAATGCTTGTAATTTATGTCGCGTTTATATGTTTTAAAAATCGTCGCCTCAGACTCATAATCTTAGGCACCCTTTGTAATTCTAGGCATTTATACGTTCTTAGAAACGAAAAAATCATATATTCAATTTTTCAAATTCACTCCATTAAGTAAAAAACCTATACTGAGATTTCTGAGAAAAGTTGTAATGGATACTTTCAGAGATGGTCAATTTCTCAGCCTACTATGCCAATATTTAATAATTTAAAATAAAGTTTTTTGCATTTTTGCATGAGTATGCAAATCGAAGTCACTCTTTGTTATTATTATCTGTGATTGTTTAAATTGCCTTTGGAAAAGTTGTGGCCACGTCGCCACGTGTCGTGTTGCGTGTGGACACGCTGTGTCGGGTCGTGTATGGCGTTCTCTTGGATCGGGACATTTCGCGTTGTTGGACATGCGTCTACTCAGATAGGAGCATTGCTGTCAGCACCTGACTTCTGAAATTACTTACAACGCAAGTTAAAACCCTATCTACAATGGCGAATCGAGTTCGGTTTAACGGCCGAGTTTGGGGTAAGTCAAAATGACTATCTCCTGATGCAACCCTTGCCCTCTATGAAGTTTTCATGTGCTTCACACTTATTCTGAGTCACCAGTTTGTTTGTTCTTTTTAGATTTTAAGACGCCGATCTGACTACG